AAAGTGTGACAGCAGAAAGGGGGCTGTCAGAAAAGCTAAAATGTCTAGGCTGACTAATTAAAACAGAGACAGAATTAACTATTATTTTAGTTTAGTTTTTTTTTCCCCCTTCCAAAGCCAGCATCTGCATAAGAGAGAGGACTACTTAATAAGAGAGGTGGGGTGGGGGGGGGGGCACAAAGGGAAAAAGCTTTGACACTCTCAAGATGTTTTAATTTCGCCATGAGGAGTTTTAGCCATTACAGGCTATGGGGAGTAGTGAGCGGTTTTGAAAATGACAGAGTAGATAAGCAGAGTTCCTTCAGTGTAGTGTGTCATACATGCGGGCCAAATTTGCTCATGGTGAATGGGACAGGACTCTACCTAAATGTCAAACCAGCTGTCAAGAATCACTCTTCTCGGCCCGGGTGCAGCATTTAAGAAGCTCTGAAAAAAGTCAAATACAAAGCCTGAGGTGATTGAAATACAGCATTTGCTTCGTGAGCAGAAAATTATTCAGTGAAGTCTCTATATAAAGCAACATAAATTCATCTTCTTTCTTTCTTTAGGGTCAAGAATTTATCTTTTTTTTATATACATAATAAAGGTTCAAGGAATGCTTCTCTTTTTACTTTTTTAGAAATGTAATTTCTAAGGACTGCTGCAGATGAGCCTCTTTTAGAAAGGCTGTTCCTTAGTAGAGAGCGCCATCCTCTGGCCATTCCTCATAACCCTAGAATTTGCTCAAATACTTTCCAAAGCAACTAGATAAACACAATGAAACTTAAAGTTAGAAATTATTTTACGACTAGCCAAACTATTTCCTCTTAAATATGCTTATATATATGATGCTTTTTATACATACCATTCTTATTTAATTCTGTTGTCAACACTGTACACTCCTAACATATTTTTTTTCATTTCTAAAATGTATTGATATATTTCAGACCTCGATCTCCATTTGGTGTTGTATGATCAGCAAAATGACCACAGGCTTACCATGTTTAGGAACCGTATGTGCAGCACATCCCGCTGTTTTGCTGATGACCTCTGACTGGTGTTCAGCTGTACCTCTAAATGTGGCTGATCACTGAGCACAGCGTTTCACTTTGTTGCCATCAAACAAACCTTGATCTCCGGTGCATTGAACCTGAACACGACAAGCCAGCAGTGAGACAAGAAAGGCACATGAGTTCAAACTCCCTTGCTTCATCGTCACAGGGGATAAACAGGAAATTACAATGCCACCAGTTACATACACAAGATCTACAAAGACCTTTCACAACATAACGTTTTTTTCTAGATAGATATTGTTAAATAGTACCAATAGAAAATTATATGTTTGTCAAAGGTTTATTGGGTGATCCCAATCTACAGAAAGTTACTGATATTTATAATTTTCTTTTGGTTATTTACACACACCATAGAGCAAAAATGTTCTAGAATTTGTCTGTTAGTTTAATGTCACTCCTTAAATGACCATACAAGTATTTCTGCATTTCATACCTGAGACACCTTTTCAAAAATATGCTGGGATGTGAGTATTTTTTCTTTTTTTTTTATTCTTTGTAATATTCCCATCCGTTCTTCAAATATACAAAAGATTCAAAGAGGTCAAACATTTCAGGAATAATTTTTTTTTCCTCATTGTGCACCAGTATATTGAGTGTGACTTTTTTCTTCGTTTTTAATTCAGTGCAGTTTGAGGGGGTCAGTGATCTCTTAATTCACTCCCAGAACTGCAAATTTTTAAAAATATGTCACTAAAAATATTCTAAAAAATTTTAGGCAACCCATAGATCTTGTTGTCTATATGTGATATACACATATATAGTTGTATATATATCTTTTCTCCTTTTTCAGGAAAGTGCTGAGGGGTTAAAAAATTCTCATATTGATGTGTCTTAATAAATACAAGACAAAAAGAGGAAAAAGTTAAACATCTGGGCTCACGTCTCCATCTCGTGGCAAAACAAGTGAAGATGCTGAATAGAAACTGCACATTTTTGCTAGTGTGAGAGCTCAGAGACACATCAGTCTGTGGGTGGCCTACATCCACTCTGCTGCATTTAATGACACTGGGGCCCAAGAGCAACACAAAAGTGTCATTCCAGACAAGTTGATTTCAGACATGTAAGGGCACAGAACACACTCTGGTGTGCACGCAACGTGTCACATTTAGCAAAATGCCTTTGATTCCAATGTTACATTACGGGGTGGCACGGTGGTTAGTACCATCTTCTCACAGCAAAAGGGTTGTGGGTTTGAATCCCTGGGGTAACCACGACTATTCTGTATGGAGTTTGCATGTTATCCCTTTGTCTGCGTGGGTTCTCTCCATCTTTCTCCCACCGTCAAAAAACCTGCATGTTAGGTTGATTGGACATTCCAAATTGCCCTTAGCAGTGAGTGTGCATGGTTGTTTGTCTCTGTGTGTCTCTGTGTGGCCCTGCGATGGACTGGCAGACTATCCAGGGTGTACCCCGCCTCTCGGCCATTGACCATTGGGATAGGCTCCAGTCCCCCCCCCCCTGCGACCCCATAAGCGGTTCCGATAATGGACGGATGTTACATTACAGCCACAAAACAAGAAAGGTTTGTCGCTAAAGTCTTTTTTGTTTGTCTGTTTTGAAGAGACTCTCATGCATCTGCTTGAAATTGCAGCTGTAAGATCCCCACAAATGATCTAATCAACATCTTTTATTTAAACACATCATTGTAGTTTTTCCCCCTAGAGGGTGTTAACATGATTGTTGGATATAATTAACAAAAAACTAAAAATCCAAATCCATGTACGGTCCTAGGAAGGTAATCTAAGGCCCAATCTAAGCTTTGCGATCCCTCACTTGCTTGATCTGTATGTCAATAGCGAGTTTCTGAGCTCAGCGGCGCCCAAAAGCCAAGAGTCTGAGTCTGAATTTACGAGGGTGTTTTTCTGGTGTCACGCCGGTGATGTTGGGAGGATTAGGGCCCTGACTTGATGTAGCATGGTCACAAATTAATTGGGGATCGCTATCAGTTACATAACAGCCTCCCAACACATGCGCTTACACACAACAAAGTAATTAGCTTCCTGTTAATTAGGTCATTAAGCAAATGAATGGGAGCTCCTCTTCATTTCCGAAGGCGGAATGGATAGCTTTCGACCAGTGTTTCTCTCTCGATTGCTCGGAGGCTGAAGCATTGAGCATGTGACGAAAGGAGGAGAATGTCTGCAGAAAGTGTGCAGATAATGACCAGGAAAATCATTTCTAAATAGATAAAAGTCTTATACATTGGGGACTGAGCTACCTCAGGCGGTATTCAGCCACATTTCACCAAATATTTGTTCTTTATGTTGAGAAAACCCTTCTTCAATGACACTTGCATACAAAGCCTAAAACCAGTATGATAGAAAAAGTGATTAAGAATAATGACAATCTTTTTTTTAAATTGGGGAAATATGCATGTTTTTTAACAGTAAAAAAAACTAATTGAATATCTAGATGTCAATTTACTGAAAATTTTACAGATAAAGTTCTCTTTTATCTCAGGTTTTGCAGTCACATTTGTTATTTGTCCCTTTAAAAAAAAAATCAAATTCACATGTAGTGTCTTGTCTCCCAAATCCTAAAAAAAAGATCATGCAACCTTTGTCTCAGCATTTCTTTTTGCACATGTCCCACATCTTTCCACACCAGGAGAAAAGCTAAAGACGGGAAACACAGGGGTCATCAGAATATAACCCCTCGTGGATCTTAGTGCTAAAACTCAACTCAAACAAATTTTCCGACAGTCATCATAACAAGCTTCATGCAACCTTTAACCACAAAACCTTCCAGTCACGATAAGATAATTGATATTTAGTTGAAAAAGAGGATGAAGAATTTGATGAAAAGAGCATACATAATTCTCCAGGGTGCAAGTGGCACGGAGTAGTGAGTTGCAGATGTTTTTTTTCAATGAACTATTGGTCACTTTTAGAAGAAAAAACTATCTTTAATAAGATGAAAAGACGGCGGCTTCCATGACACACTTTAGAATCCACCCCGGGTGGTATCAGGAGGTGAGAACCGCGGGCTTTGATGTAGACAGATCCCAGCTGAGCAGCACATGACGGGTATTCTAAGAATCTCACACAGCGGCTTTCACATGCTGGGACGCCTGCCCAGGGGACTGCTACTCACCATTAACCAGAATTTGCTCCAGGCCCCTGTTTCCCCCCGCCTTTCTTTTCAAGGAAAAGATATACACTCCTTAAACCTGAAAGGAAACATGTCATTGTAAATGTGATGCCTTTTGGGGGAATGGGTCGTTTATTCTCACCTTTCAGCTTAGTAACACTTTGATATCAAGAAATAAAGTTTTTGGGGTTCATGTTTGCAGCCCATCTTTGGTCTCTGGGTAAATATATTTGATGTATTAAAAGTACATTTGATGATGTATATATTATGGCTTTTTTTGTGCATTTTAAACTGGGATAACAAAAATTTTTGTGTTAATTTGCTAAAAAAAAAAGTGCTGCCAAGGCTATCCAGATTTATGGAAAATTCTCACAAAATACAACGGATTTCCAAAAGGATATTTCTTTCAATTCTGTACTGTAGATGATGGAATACTGACACTAAATATTTTATGTAGAGGACCATTTTTAAAAATGGTTCTGGTTTATTAGGTACGTTTTGCCTTGACAAAGTGCTGCGGTACCTACTCCATCTTCATGTCTGAACTACGCTTAATTCCACTCATCAAGTCTTGTACAAGCTAACATTTTAGGATTAAGGTGTAAAAATGTCTCTTTTTTAACATTTGACGTATTTTCTTCGGTTGACTGTTTAGAACATATGTGTTTATCAGCCTAGCAAAGGTTTGACTTGGAGGTGAAAGAGTTACTTTTGTCACTGCATTAATACCTCAAATTGGATATTCATTAATCATCTCTTATCTGCTCTGAGCAGGCATGTCAAGGTGCAGATCAAATGGCAAGCTGGTGCAAAACAGATCCCCGATTATCCCATACGAAAAGAAAGCCCAAAGAAGTGTGCATTTTCGCTTCAATTTTATTTACTTTGTCCGTGTCACTGCAAAAAAATCATGTTCATAAAGAAACTGTCCCTTTATAACTATCAAACAGTCCAAAGTTGAACTAGAAACGTAGTGTGAGACAAAAATACCAGAAGCACTCCAGTAACTTGAGCCTACACTGGGATAATACATGGTGATAGTATGTTAATAGGGTTAGTGGAGACGAGTCCGATCAGGTTTCATATGAAAACGGCTGATATTCATCAGCCGGCTTTTCATTGCTGAACCGACCGTTTCATTCATTTAAAAAAAAACGGAAATCTACACTGACCTCACAGTTACTGGCTCTCACTGCATCGCGCCACTTTCCTAAAGCTTACATTTAACAGGTTCCAAACACAGACAGAAGATGAGCCATCTTTCACAGCAAATAGGCAGCGTTCTTCAGCAAGCAACCGGGCAGATTTACTGGTGCAGAGAAACTCGTTCAGACAAGTCCCAAGGAGAACCATGAGAGGATCACACAAATAAAAGAAGGAAAAAAAAGTTTTTTGAAAGTGTAGGATTTCCTCACTAACTGATCAGTGATTCATTTTCGAAGGGTAGGGGGTCTACTGTCAAAGTGCGCGGTGACAGAGGCGTCCGATTTGGCGCCGAGAACATTCCCACATCCACTTTTCCTCTTAAAGCAAATAGGTTCAAATCTTCTTACGGATATCGGAAAAAAGGCGGACAGCAGCCGTGCGGTCGCTGCGGACCGGACCTGTGCTGGATTAAACATTGACGGCTCCGTAACTGAGGGGACGACAACAGCGATAAAGTAGTCATGTGCAAAATTTTCCAGGTGCGACCCTGATCTGGGATCTTGATAAAGAATCAAGAAAAAAAAAAAAAGACGAAAAATAACAATCAGGAACATTTTGTCCATTAAAGTGAAAAAAAAAAAAGTTTTTATAAAAGCCTAAAAGAGTAAAACACACTGATAATTAAGATACAAGCATCTTAAAAACAGCAGGCGAGTGCTTTGGCACTGGATCATGATGAGAATGCGGACGTTGGTTGTTTTCAGCAGTGAGAACACACTCGGGTAAGCAGCTGCTACCTCTACACTGGGAATGACTCACCGGGTCCCCCTTTCTACGCTGGGGGGGGCGGGACCACGACAGAGCAGCTCGCTGAAGCAGGACTATACATCCTCTGAGAGGCTCAGAACTCTAGGACCCATTACTGAGATGAGACAAGGCATCAGTCATTAAAAGTTATAAAAATAGATCGATACATTTTCTTGTTGAAAGCAAAAAAAAAAAAAAAATCCATAACTAGCCTGTGGACATTGGCCTCTGTGTAAAGGCTGGTACAGAGTTCAGTTTTAAAAACCAACAAAGAAACAACAACCAAAAAAGTGCTTTACTGTCTAATGTCTTGAGCGTCCTCCCTCGAAGGCATGATGCTCCATGTGAGCTGAAAAAGTCAGAGATTTGCTGCGATTAGAAACTTCTGATCTGTTTAGTGATCATAAATCATCACTAAACATCCAGGACTCAGTCATGAAGACAAAAAGACGGCATTCCAGGTGTTTGGCTTTCCTTCGTGAGGCTTTAGGACAAGACAAATCCAAAGTCAGAACGCCAAAAGTAAGGAAAAAGGGATACTTACACTTATAAAAAACTGCTTTGAAGGATATGTACGGGAGCAGCTCGAAGACTTTCCCCAGGATATTTGCTTCGTTAGCCAGAGTGGCGTCCCTGTTCCACACTTGCACCACGTCTTCCCGATCGCGCACGCTAACGCTCACGCCGACAACTTCATCGTCTGGGAGACACGAGGGCACAGGGCATTCTGATTGGTTTAGTTTTCACCAAGACGGCATGCCTTTGTTAGTTTTTTCTTTGAGAACATACCTGAGGCACAGTAATCTGCAAACTGCTCTCCAATAGTGGCCAGTAACAACTCTTTCCAAACTACTGCCTGAAATACAGAAAAAAAAGATGCTTGTTAGTGTTTCTGCAACATGATGAAGAGAAAAGAAGAACAAGGAGGGTGGGAAAAAAACAAAACACCTACACTATTTTCTTTTGGTATTTTCATCTTCCATACACCACCTTTTGCATTACTCTCTTCTTCCCTGTTTGTGTGAGGGATAAAAGCAAAACAAAAAACAGACAAACCGAAGTTGGTAAATGCTCAGCATATCAATATACGGTGTTCTGAAAATATGTGCATTTCAGAATTGGCTGCAAATGACAGCAACAGCAAGTATACAGACTATTCAGAGTCAGAACTCACCAGAGTGGCCTTCGCTCGCCACGCATTAAGTGATAGCTACATCTTAAAGGCAGTGCCGTGACTGGAGGGATGTTGTTATACACACTCCAGAACATCTGCAAACAGAGAAAGTAGAAAAAAAGTAAGATAAGTCCATCATGTACAGGCCTCTGCAGCCTGACTCTCTTTTTTGAGACCAATACTTCCACTGACACTGGGACCGTGACATCATGGATAAATAAAAATCTAATCTGTGTGGTACTGCCCTCTGCTGGACAAATTATGTAATAATGACACTGACGCTAATACCTGGATCCTTGCATTACAACTTAGTTAGATTGGCATTCAATACAGTACTGTACATAGATTGTGTCTATTCTTATAGCTTAAATGAAAACATTTTGTATGAGGAGCTTTATTTTGCCAATAACTTTATCCTCTTCCTGTGTCCATTCCTTAAGAAAGGCTTCTTGATCAGGCTTAAGTAAACAGTAGACTGATCAGCTGTAGGTCCAGAGGCAACTCAGAGTTCCTGTAAATATCAAATAAATAAATCTGACGTTTATTTATTTGACCCATTCTCAAGGACCTAACTTTCAGAATGGCAGAGTCTGCTGTAGACGGGACAATGCGATATTTTACAGTAGCAGCAATTCCAATAAAAGTCAGAGAGAGAGCATTTTACAAGCTGTTGGCATTTCCATGCGTCAACAGCAGGGTTTAAACCGGGCTGCCAGGTGACGTGTTCTTTTTAAAGTTTCTCACGCTTGCCTCTATAAAAACTGGTGACTCTGCCTCAAACCTAAACGGTGACAGCCAACCTGGTCGTGCTCCTTCTTCCGCCCTGTCGTTTTTTCACCTAACCGTCTGTCGGAACGTTCACACACACACGACCAATTTCAGTTCCTCGTCTCGTAACGTCAGCCCTTTTTAAAAAAAAAAAAAGTTTACACATGACCAGAGAATTTCTGGAGACCGTGTGAAGATTCTGCTCCCGACTCACACATGCACACGTTAGACATTGTAGGCATGCTCCGCATAGTAGGAGGGCTGAGAAAACGGGAACCCTCATTGACGAGGTGAGCATTAGATGCTGCTGATCTCACACGAGCGTGACCCAGACGAGGATATGTGCTCGCATAAAGCCCCCGTAGAGGATGTCTGGAACACCTCAGGGCTGTGCCAGAGTGGCTTTGTCCTATGTGGGACAAAACATCCTGCGGGAAGTCTCCATACATGTAATCTACTCATTTTTCCCACCATCGTCTGAGCTTAGGGCTGCTTTAAATGCTGGTGATTGTGTTGTTTCCTCACGCCGTGGAAGCCCCTCTCATAAACAGCAGACGGCGAGTCTCACCTGGACGGTTTGCACTGTGTAGATCTTCTTTAGGTTCGATTCACATTCTGCTGCGGTTGTTCCCGGTAACGACCTGGAAAGACAGGCGCTTTAGATGTCAAACTGGAAAACGGTGCATGCATTCAGAACTAAACATCCCATAAGCTGTTCTTTGTTTTTTAAACTAGTGTCTCGGAGTTGTTACATCTTGTGCCGCAGAGGTCCAGCCTGAAAACCTTGCATATTTTTATAGATTATATGGGCAATAATGTCAAGAAACAAAAAAGACACATGGTTAAAATTATCAAAAATCCATTCCGTTTTTGGTGCTTTAGAGCTGGGTAATAGCATCTATGTAAACTGTGGTGACTTCTAAGAGTCAAAAATTGGAAGAAAGAAGCAAATACAAGTGTGTAAAGCCTAAACATAAACAATAAGACCAGTGGGCCAACCTGTAATGGCTAAAAAAAAAAAATGCTGTAATAAAACAGAAAAGAGTCCTATTTTATATTGTTCACACCTCGATGAGCAGGTAAACAAAAAATACAAAACAATAGCACAGGACTCATCCAGCCCCCTTAACACTTTCCCGGGCTCCTGCTGCAAGTCAAAACACAGACAATGAGCAACAAAGGGGACGAAAGCAGCAAATAAAATCCCAACGACTCCCAAATCCTAAAGACAGGCGTTAAAAAAAACACGTTTTAATGACAGCTGGGAAGGCACTTTGGAAAGGAGACATAATTCCCGGGAATGCACAGCGAGTTAAGCTAGCAACGGACAGTCCTTCAAACGAGAAAGTTAAACCACTTCTAACACGGTTTGTTCTTTTTTTTAAAGAAAATGTAGAAACCCTGTGTCGCCCTACGGGTTTCAGTCGGAGCCTCCGGGGGAACGACACAAACCCGGAGGCACAGGAGTCCCCTGCCCTGCGTGGGAGCCATTTATTCGGACAACGACCTCATATAACCCGCTTCGGATGCTGGAGTTTGGAAATAGAAGACGGTCACGTTAAACGGCACGCGCCCCCGCCTCGCGACCTACGTTTTTTTTTTTTTTTTGCTTCTGGAGGCCTTCGGAAAAGCTGTGGCCTTGACTAGTTGTTGTTTTTCTTTTTCTCTTTTCTTTTTTTATTAGTCCCGTTTCGTCTCTGCTCGTCCCGGGTGATTAACTCCGGGTACAAAGCTTCAAATATTACCTGTCCAGCCAAAACGTCCACGGAGAGTGCAAAGGCAGCGTCGTTGTGTCGTCCCCTTGTTGTTTCTTTGTGATGTTTTCCAACTCTTTCTCGTCGATGTCAATGTCGTTTTCGGGGGAAACCGTCTGGCCGCTCAGGGCGCCTCTGTCCACCCGGGCCTCCGTCTGACCCGCCGTACCCTCCATTTTCCAGCAAGGAGCAAACTATACCCCCCAACCCCACCCCCCTTTTCTGGTTTCTTTGCTGTTCCGCTCGGCAGAGGTACCCGGGTTCGGGCTTTATCTTCAGATACCGAAACACACTACCGCTTTTCCGCCCACCAACTGCTGACGTCTTTGCGTCACCGAGCAGGGGACGCCGCCGTTGGTCCACTTCACAGATATGCGTAAAAAAAAAAGAGAGCTCACTCTGTCCCATTTTCCACCGACTTCTCTCGCCCCAAAAACAAGCACTCGATATATTTGTCGCTAAAATACAAACATACGGCGAGATTGACTGCAAGGAAATATGACTAAGATTTTAAAAACAAGCATATATTTTCCCGCAAAAGTGTTTTTTTTTGGCAGGATTTTACCGTAAAGTGTTGTATTTTAATAATAAAATGTACTTACTTCTTAATCGGAAATAAAACCAATTGTGTGTGGGCACAAGTTTGAGGTGAAAATTGCTTTAATCAACTCAGGGGTTTCAAACAGTGCATATTTTGTGCACCAGAGGACGCTAAAATCACACAACTAAATATTGTACGTCAACTCCACCAATTGAATATTAGACTTGACCTTTTTTGCCTTGTTATGTTGAGAGTAAATCGGGAGCAGACGTAAAGTTATTGTTCTATTTTTCCGGTCAGATGAGGATACCGGTCCTGAGTTGTAATAGGACGTCTATGAATAGTCAGGTGACAAACGGTGTTCATACATGCACGCTATTGCAGTTTTCTCGTGTGTATTTTCTTTGCAATATGTGTAAAGTACTATCAACACACACAAAAAAACAACCGAGGGAGTCCAACAAAGTATCAGTGGCATCCCATTTGGCAATTGGTAACATTAGTAAAGAACTAAACACAGATGATACATTGTATTGTTGGCCCCATCAGACTATGTTGTTATTGGCTCTGCTTTTGTTATCATTGTTATTTTTTTAAATGATGATGTGGCTTTGCAACAAGCAGACAAGGTCCGAGGAAAAATCCCCAAAGGCCTGGACAACCGCTTTGAAATATTGCAAGAGTCATTTGAGACTGTATGAAGAAATAATGTCGTTTGCACTATACTACCTTCGTTTAAGTACAATACAAGATAAATTAAACAAACAAAAAATAACTAAATAGATAAATAACAAAAAAAATTCAAATGCCTAGAAGAAAATATGGACAAACACCTGCTGATCTCCCAAATGCACCCGTCTTTTACTCCTTCGAGTAAGGCATCATAACAATAGGCCATCTTTGTTTGGCAGCCTTTTGTTTGTTTCCTGCCTCCCAAGCGCCCAAGTCTTTATCTGCACTGCTATCCGCAAATTCTAATTCAATTATTCATTTTTCCAATGAAATTATTGTGTGGCCTACAAATGCATGTGCTCGGTATTTGATATTTGGGCATTCCAGCTATTCAAACTCCTGCAGGTTGCAGCTGTCAACCACCCTGCCATTTTCAAACCCACACTTCCCCAAACACGTTCAATTGATGCACTATCAACACATGTAGCCATCAATTAAAGAGGGTTTTCAGCCAATTAGTTCCAATTTCGACCAATCTGTGGCAGGCCACATGCCTAACAGATGCAACCAAATGATTGACTTCCATTAGATTAGCATTTCCTTCATCTGCTCGGCCTTTGGCTTTAATAATTTCTGCCCTCCTTTAATCTGTGGGGTGATCCCTTTGCTTGCTGTGGAAGGGCAGACTCAGCTGTGCGTGCAGCTTGTTGCAGGAGTGCAGGTGAATCACTGCAGAGGCAGCCCTGTCACATGATAGCAGCTTTAGTTCAAAGAAGGCTGAACAAACCCTGCAGAGTGCAAGATCCAGTGGACTTGGGGTTTTTGGATATTCTGTTTCCCTCTCCTGAAAAGTTACCATGGAAGTGATGCCGTTCAAGTCAGTCACATGATCTTATCACTTATCAAATATATTTGTCATCATTTCATCCCCTTGCCAAACCATCTACTCTTTTTCTAAGTGTTTTAAAAGACTCTTAACATCCAATTTGAGCATGCACCTGCTGCTCGCTCTGTAAACGGAAGCTATCTTTTAAAACTTAATAGTGTGTTTCTTATTTTTTAGGACTGTTGCATCTTAAGAAATTATCTATGGGAACAAGGGATAGATCATTAGTGTTATTCACGTGACTGCAATAACAGCCTCGGAAAGTGGGGATGTGATGCACGGTGGGTTGAGAGCATAAATAGGTCTTGGATGATAATCCGCTGAGTCATTTGTGCACTTTGTTTACTCCAACCTTATGGATATAGAACCAGTTCACCCACATGCAGGCAGAGATGGGATGTGTTTTTTTCTTTTTGGATTGATAATATGAACAAGTTGCAGACGCTGGAATAGGGGATCGATATATTTGAGATGATCAAAACGCAGCCTGTACTGTTACAGTGGGTTTTTTCTTGGGTTATTATCACCAAACATCAGCGGAGAGGTGATTTGCCAGCCTGCCAACATCTGCCGTCGCCGCGTGGAGACAGATCTCGCTGATCCCGGGCCCATGCGCGCCTCATCCGAGCGGACGTGCGTCGCATTGGCTGCGCGCCGCCGAGCGAAGATGCGCCGATAGACGCGCCGCCCCGCGAGTCTCCCACCTCCTCTCGTCTCCGGGAGAGACGCCGAGCGCGGACGCGGACGCGGACGCTCCTTTTCCCGCCTCTTAACGCGTCCCTGGAGGACGCGTTATTATCGCCCTGCGCGCTATCGTCCACTGGCTGGAGACCTCTGCTCCGCCGTGGGTGGAATCTGAGATGCGTTTTCTGAGCCGATCGTCTCCCCCTGTACGGACGTCTCCCGAAATGGTGTCTGATCCCAAACCTGCCGGCCGCCTCTATTCGGCACAGAAAGGGGAAACGGGAATAGGCGCTTTTCGTGGGGGACGCTTGTGAGATGAGGGATAAGAAGAGGAAAAAAACATATGTTTCTGTTTGTTTGTTTTTTATCGGGGATTACAGCCGGGAGTCGGGATGGGATCTATTCGTGAGCAACCCCCCCCCCCTCTTTTCAGGGCCGGGTTGATTTTCTTCTCCACTCGGCTGTGGCAGGATAACGGCGCTCGTCCGTGATTTTGATGCGGGAGGACGCGCGTCTGCGTCTGCGGCTGCATCCATGGCGAACACCAGCGCGTTCGGGGAGACCAGCGCGTCTCTGCACAGCCACGCGCCCGCGGCCTCTGCGGTCAAGCTGGCCTCCCTGGGGCTGATCATGGGCGCGAGCCTGCTGGGCAACGCGTCGCTGTCCCTGCTGCTGGTGAAGGACAGCTCGCTGCACCGGGCTCCTTACTTCTTCCTGCTGGACCTGTGCCTGGCCGATGTGGTGCGCTCGGCCGTCTGCTTCCCCTTCGTGATGGCCTCCGTGGGCAGCGGCGTGGGCGGCTCGGCCTGGCCCTACAGCCCCCTCAGCTGCAAGATCGTCGCCTTCCTGTCGGTGCTCTTCTGCTTCCACGTCGCCTTCCTGCTCTTCTGCGTCAGCGTCACCCGCTACATGGCCATCGCCCACCACCGCTTCTACTCCAAGCGCATGAGCCCGTGCACGTGCGCGGCCGTCATCTGCATGGTCTGGACCCTCTCGGTGGCCATGGCCTTCCCGCCGGTCTTCGACGTGGGCACGTACAAGTTCGTCAGCGAGGAGGAGCAGTGCACCTTCGAGCACCGCTACGTGAAGGCCAACGACACGCTGGGCTTCATGCTGATGCTGGCCGTGGTGGTGGGCACCACGCACGCCGTCTACGTCAAGATGCTGTGCTTCGTCTACGACCACCGCAAGATGAAGCCGGCCCAGCTGGTGCCCGCCATCAGCCAGAACTGGACCTTCCACGGGCCCGGGGCCACCGGGCAAGCCGCCGCCAACTGGATCGCCGGCTTCGGCCGCGGGCCCACGCCGCCCACGCTGGTGGGCATCCGGCAGGCCTCGCACCCGGGCAACAGGAGGCTGCTGGTGCTGGACGAGTTCAAGACGGAGAAGCGCATCGGGAAGATGTACTACATGATCACGCTGACCTTCCTGGTGCTCTGGGCCCCTTACATAAGCGCCTGCTACCTGAGGATATTTGTGCGCGGGGCGCCCGTCCCGCAGCTCTACTTGACCGCTGCGGTGTGGATGAGCTTCGTCCAGGCCGGCGCCAATCCCGTCGTCAGCTTCCTGTTCAACAAGGAGCTCCGGATGAGACTCAGAGCCTGTTTTTCCTGCTGCCTGGGCACGCAGACGCCCATGGAGCCGTACTGTGTCATATGAACCCCCACCGGATCCCGAAGTATTACTGCCAAAGACACGTTTATATGTTCTTTAGGAATGTACGCTGAATGCTGTTTACGTCCATGCTGACGTGGGTGATCTGTGGAGAAGGGGGCCAACCACAGTTTATGATAGCCACATGTTTTTATTTAAGGCAAATGTGATTTATAGTGAACTAATGAAACTTTACTATGACTTCCCACAGTCAAACTGACTCCAGGTTGGTGAGGTATATCAAATAAATGGACTTAAAGAGCAAAGTGTTTGATGACTGACCTACCTTTTGATTTAGGTATTAATCATAGCCTCACAATTGGGGCAAATCTGATATTGGAATCTTTTATTCTCATATATATTTTTATTTATGATGCCTATCTAATATTTTTGTTCATGACAATACATGCTATTGTGGCTATTGTTTGTACATTCTTTGAATTCATAACCAGTTTGAGGTTATTCGCCTGCTGTAAGATGGGAAAGATACACTGTGGCGCTGTAATATCTGCCATCTCCAGCGTCTCTAACATGCTTGGTCGTTGATGAATTGGATACCACAAATGAGACACAGATCTCAGTATATTTTTAAAGAAGGTCGGTACATAATGTAAATACTGTAAAGCCCCGTCACGGTCTCCTTTTAATAAAAAAAAAAATGCAATGATCAAATGGACTATGAAGATTATGAAGATGGAGAATTAAGAAATGATTGATTTGTTGTATAGGCCATCATCTATAAGCATTTTTTTTGTGTTGGAACAAAGTGTTAACGCTCACTTTTAAAATAATTTTGCCAACTTTACCTAATGAGTTTTGTAGAAGGCGGTTGATTCACATGGGCTGCAGGATGTACACGGGTTCAGCATCCTCCCTCTGTGGACGTCAACGCTCTGCTGGACTGAAAATGTGGACAACATGGTGCTTCAAATGGATTCCTGCATTGTTTGTATTTTGAAGCAAATAAACAATAAATGGAGGATAAGTCGCTTGTGCTATATTTTCAACTTTTGCCGTACATTTAGCTGGGTCATATAGACCCTATATTAGTTAACAGGTCAAAAATAGGTGATGGTACGAAATGGTGATGTTTAATTTAGCCTTTTGTTGCAGTGTGTTTTTTCATAATTAAGGCCAATCTCACATTTCATGTACAGATGCATTTTAAATACCTAACATTAAAAAACCCTGGACATTGGCAGTACCTGGAGGGATTTGGTCAGAATGATCTTTCTGTAATTAATCTAACAGACACTGATATGTTTACTGCCCCCAGGGATTCAAACAATTCACCTTCTTACTGTATGGAAATAATGCTAATCATCACATCTCTGGTCAAGTTGAATATAAAAAAAATCAAAATAACTAAAGCCTTTTGCATAGCCTTGGTGGGAAATGTAATGTTTTCAGGGGAATATCTTATAAACCTTGGGAAAACTAGTTCTTTGTTCAACACTACATGAGATCTTATAGGATGGATTTGAGCTCTGTTTCTTAGCATTGCATTTAAATAGATCAAATCATGCCTCTAGTCTAGAATACATCCAGAGCATTAGCCAGAACCACAGTTTCATGTAGTCGGGACTTTGTGGTCTGCACTCAGATCAAAATATTTAAACTTGAACCAGAAAGCTCTGGCAAGCATTTAGAGAAAGTACCCAGGGATTTACCGTACAAATGAATAAGTGTCAGGATAGCTGACGGCACTCTGGATACTGAGAAACCCAAGGGAAGGATCTGCCAGTGGAAGACAAATGAGATCAACATGTTTCTATTTGCAGTCAGCCATCTGTTGCTCACAAAAGCTTAATTGAACAGAAAATATCACTCTACTTTTTTAAGTGACGGCAAAAATTATTTAGGTTTCTTATTATCAAATGCATATTTTAGCAGACACAAACATTGGAGGCAAGAGCAACAAGTAGATTGGCAATTTATTGGAAACTGTCAAAACCAAAGGGTGTGAGGCTAAGGCTAAAGCTAAAGTTGAGCCAAAGGCAAAGGGGAAGGGCTGTCACAAACCAGGTTTAGAGAAATCTGGAGAGATATGACAGGAAAAATTGCAGGCACTCTATAAAAAAAAGGGAGTTTGTTGACTAAAATTGTGCGATAAAAAAACAGCCCTGTCTTTAAAGTCAACCCCGCTACCTATCCTTGGGTGTATCTATTGGCTGAAAAAGCAGAGTTGACTGTGCTGTAGTGTGGTAGGCTTTAGTTCTGGCTCCACACACCTGCAATTAACAAGATACAGGAGCAGACAAACAAGCAGCAACACGGGCTGCTGAACAGGAGACGGCAGAGGTGGATATGGGGCGAATGACAATCAGGAGCGGGAGTTTTACCTCAACAAGTCTCACGTTCAGCGGATAATGAGAGATTTTTAAACACGCGTGAGCCCGTGTGGCACCTGCTTCCCATTCTAAAAGCTTCTATCATGCCAACTGAAACGGGTGGGGGTGCTTTAAGCGAGCTGTTTCTGAGGTCTCTTTGCTATCACAGTCACCACACGCATTTTTGTGAGGGGGTATATGTTATGTTGTGCATCGTCCAGGGAGAGCGGGCTGCGATATGACGCTGGAGGGAAGTGACTCCTCTCCTGAGATTTACAGGCCGATTCACAGGCTGACCTTTTCAAGCTTTTTCTACCCAAAGCTAAGCAAAGCTGACTACATCCACGGCGCTGTAGAAAAACTGAACAAACAAAGCGGCTGGAAATGTAGATTTCTGAGATGGCCTGTTCTGATAAGGTTGGTGGTGCTCAAGCATCACAATATTTGGTTTTTAAGTTTTCTAAATTCAGCATTGCAGTTCACTTATGCTGCAGAGTTTAAAAATGGTATTAATGCAAACAGAATGCAGTGTCTCACAAGTTACTTGTGAGAATTCATCTGAGGTTTAAGCACCACAGTGGCTGCAAAGGAAAGCAGCTCAGGACGGAACACAGGGAAATCTTAAGGAATATTTCTTTGCCTGCAGTATTTTTAGTCATGGAAACATGGAAACTTCCATCAACAGCTCTTAATATATGTCTTTTAAGTTCAAAGTATTCAGATATTCTGAATACTTTCATAAAAACCCAATGACGTTCAACACTATTTCATGCTTCATTAGAATCAGTCTAAAATGTTGCTGTGTTTTCCTTGCTTATGTGGTAGTTTTAGTATCGTTCCACACTTGAGCATTGGTAATGGCTAACTATACAAGCCATAATTGTGCATCAATCCCTCTGTATTTCACACCATACCCACGATGGGCTCTGAAGCACATAAAGGAAATATGGAACAGAAAGGAAAAAAGGCAAAGAAGAGTAAAGCAATTTTCCTTTAAATATATAGTTTAATTGAAGCTGCACTGACATGATGATGCATTATGAAATATACGTATCTGTATTCCAAATAATAAAAATAAATTCAGAACAAGTTTTTACAGGCAGAAAAGTTACTTTGCTGGTAACAAATAGTGTGTTTGGAAGTGTTGGCCCTCAGAGGAAAAAGTCTGGATACTTGTAAGAAGATAGGCATTTGGATTTTCCCTCCATCACAGAAATACATGACAGGTTGGGCAGGCAGGGGCAGGTGTGGTGAAGTCTTTTCCCAAAGAAAGGGACCTAAAACATAGATGAAGGCATAAGAAATTCAGTTTGGAATTGATTGAATTAAATGAAAAGGCTTGGGTCCTCTGCTAATGGTTTTGAACCGAAAGCCTAAATAAAAAGCTGATTCCACATGTTCCACGTGCCCCTCACCTTGTGGCTTAGAGGATGACAGTCGTCTCCTTCCCGTCCCATCGGTGCGCACATCCGCAGGCTGCGGATCCACAAACTCACCGCACAGCACATCCCTCCTCCACACTGGGTGTCCCTCTCACAGGCCTACACACACACACACACACACAGTTAACAGTTAGCCTGTTCAAAAAGACCAGCTTCAAATTATGTTTATGTTTATGTTTATGCATTTGGCAGACGCTTTTATCCAAAGCGACTTACAGAGTAGACACAATATTACATTTCTCATCACAATGACAATAAACTATATAGAACAGAAAAACTGATCAGAGTCAGTGGTGAGATAGAGATAGAGGTAGAGGGGCTACAGAAGGAGCTGTGGGGGGGTAGAGGTACGGGTTAGGGTTAGGATAGGAGATGCTCTTTGAAGAGGTGGGTCTTCAAGAGTTTCTTGAAAACAGACAGGGACTCTGCTGTTCTTGTGGAGCTTGGTAGGTCGTTCCACCATCTTGGAACGACACATGCAAACAGTCTGGATTGTCTTAAGCGTGGTGAAGGCACTGCTAGACGACAATCCATTGATGACCGGAGTGATCGAGTTGTGACATAAGCCTTTGCAAGGGGATTCAAGTAGATGGGAACCATGGGAGTAAGATTTCCCTCACTCACTCACTATTTTCCAAATAAAATCACTAACATCTGACTATTTAATCGGTCATATCAACATTGTGGTTTTTGTAAAAGCTTTTTAAGATGTCAGTAAATATTATAAATCGTTATTTGGTAAATTCGACAAGAACAAAAAAAGACAGTGTAACGTACATCTTCTGCTATGCTTAAGCAGAATAATTCAGGTATGAGAAACTGAGCGACAGCTCTCACTTCAGATGAGATGTCATAACCACAATGAAGAGGAACAGCAGAAATTCCAAGTGACAGGCACTGATCAAAATCATTCTTTTTTGCATGGCCACATGTGCGTCCTTCCACTCCCATCAGCAGCATGGTGTGAGAGGGCTGTGCGACAGATACCACCACTCTGTCACCTCGGGTTATTGATGTATTTTATTATATGCCCGTTGTGTCATATAAAATGGAGTCTGTAATGAAGAATGTTTTTTTTTTTAAATCATCTGGCTCATTCATAGGTTGACATGAGGTGAATTCCATTCATGTGTAAAATGATTATTGAACATTATTGCCTGCAGGGCTGAAATAATGCCAGTTCTCTGAGATTAATTTCACTTTTTACCTTCTTTTTTTCCATTTTATTCTAGATTTGATACGATTGTTCGTGCCGATGCTTCACCGGAGTGCGAGGTAAAACAGTGTTTAACTGACGCACGCATTTGATAACTTTGAATTCACGCTGGTCACATCACAAATTAGAAAGCTTTTTTTGAAGACTACAAAGTATAAACAGAAAATCCAGCACATGCATAAATCTGAATATTTACCGACAACAAGGCTAATATACCCCTTGAAATATCCATATCTTTGGCATGCACCTACCCCAGTGATGATGGCTGAAGATCCGTGGGACACCAGCAACAAGGAGAAGAGCAGAGGGAAGAAAGACTTCATGACCAAGACCTGTCTTTGTGTTCCCGTGGCGTCCCGGTTGTGGAGCGTGGATGCTGAGGCTGACAGGACTTGCTGCATGTGCATCCGTGACAGGCGGCAGAGCAAAGTGGCCTCCAAACTCTTGCGTTGAGGTCTGAGGGAGGTTTTATACACCCAGCCCACCATTCAGAAACTTCATGACTCACTCACACTTGGATTCCAATGCAGAGCCGCAAAAAGAGAAAGAAGACCAATTTTGACACGAGGGGAACTTAGCCTTTTACAAAGTGTTGGCAGAGCAGGCAAACAGATTAAAGTTGGCCATCGGTCCATGCAAATTTATTCAGTGTGATGTTTTGCGTGTAAAGTTTTTTTCTTTTCTTTTTTTTCTCATTTCACCTGTTCAAGCTCCAAGGCCACAGTTTTTTAAATGTCCTTAGAAAACATACTCGGAGTGGAGCTCACAATGAAAACAAGAGGAAGGACAAGGACTTCTGCAGTCAGTGTAGCGCTGAAAATAAAGACTTGGTGGATTGATTTATCATTTCAAACTGTTATTTCTGATTATTTTTAATCATAACAGTCCCTTCCAGATCCAAATCCATGTCTGTTCTCTAAGATTGTGTTGCTCAGCTTAACTGACAAATTATTACAAGTTTAATTTCTCATTAAGAAGATTTCTTAGCACCCTCCACTTTAGCAGCTGATTCCTTTCGAGTTTATAGCTCCTCGGTAGTTTTTCAAGCAACTTACACTTTTTCTGCTGAATTTTTTTAGCATGAGACGTCAGTTTTGTGAAGCGACATGTAAGGATTGCCTGAAGTTAAGTGTTTCAGAGCACTGGCACTTCAGTGTAGCTGAGAGACAGGGTCAATCAGCAGATTGGGAGCTAAATCTGCCCTAATTTCAGTTTAGAAGATTTACGCTGACAACTGAGTCGCACAGGAAGACACAAATCAAGCATTCAGTTCCATTCAACAAATGAGTAAATATCTTTCATTGCAGCCATTGAACATGGCCAACCATGTCAGATGTCTATTTAAAAAGCACGATAAAGCAAGTTGGATATTTGAGGTGATTGGTTGAAAATGGATGGGGCATAATGATAGAAATTCATCTGACTGTAAATGATTACCTCGGCTATAATCACCCTGTTTAAATCAACTATGCAATACTAAAGTTAGGAAGATAACTTTATTTAGTGGCAAATTGCACAGATGCGTCAACAACAAATTCATTTTTTTTTGTCTTTTATATGACGCCACAACCATCAAACTTTGTCAGATGGTCTGCCAATCTCAGGTCCAAGCAGACAGATCTAATAGATGAGCAGCTGGTTAGATCATGTCCCTGACATATTTTGTTATTATCAAGTAAACCAGAAATGCTCACGTTCCTAAAGTTATGGTAACTATGTGAAAGACATGTTCAGCCTTTCAAATGCTTGTAAAAAAAAAAGGAGGGTAAACTTTCAGTTTAGATTTTTTTTTTCTGAATGTTCTGCCCTAGTCAGGCTCTTTAGGCAATTAAAAACCCAAGGCAACAGATCAAGGTTCAAGATCTGTTGCCTTGAACCATGCCTGTGAGTAAGACTATATATTTGATTTAATTGTCCACATACTGTATATAGAGTGGCTGCATTCACCTGAATATCCTCAGTACATCGCCTGAACACATTATTTGTAGAAACAGATGGTGTGCTTGATCTAACATCTCTGCCCCTGCTTCACCCGCTGTTTACACAGTGACAGCATATTGAAACACTGTGCTGGACTTTTGTCTTGTCCCCAGGTTGCCAAATACAATGACGTCTGCTTTGCGTTTGTATTTGTGAAGGTAATCTGAACAACGGGGCAATGGGACCATGTAGAGGGAGTGTATATGTTACCTGAAAACAGATGAAAACGCAGAACACGACAGTGTCGTTGTCATGTTCCAGGAACAAGAACTGACTTTTTGTTGTCATCTGGATTTTAAGAAGTGAATATGAGTCAACAGAATTCTGCAAAAGACAAAACTGAGCTGAGTGACAGCAGGATGAATATAAAAAGTGCCATTGGGATTCCCTTGGTGCAAATAAGACTAATACAAGCTTAAACAAGTACACACAAGATTAATACATGAATGCAAAGGAAAAATAATATCTATATCTACATCTATGTTACAGAAAGAAAACAGACCTGTTATCAAACCACATCAAGTTTAGTTGTGATAAAGTGCATGTCTATAAGCCAAACTGGAAATCTAACCATAAGTGGAAATGATTAAGTGCGTTTAGTGTTCACTGAGATTACAGACAGTGTCACTGATTTGCTTACTTGAAAATACTAACACAACCTTAAATACCATTAAGGAGATTAAGTATAAAAGGTAGAATAAACTCTGCTATAAATCATGTTATTGAAACATAAATAAACTGCTGTAACTAGCACTTTTTTATGTAACCTTTGCTTTCACAGAGGCATCATTTGAAATGATTCACAATACAGATTCAGATGCTGTTTTCAGTAGACAAAAAACATATGGTTATGCAATGAAAACCTAAAATATACATTTTCTTGATAGACTTTTTTGCCTTTCATATTTTCTAAAGGGAACCTGGAAAAGATTACTTTCTTGGGAATGTAAGTGAAAAGTGAAAGCCTGGAGGAACATACAAAGTCTCTTTTTAGATGAATGGATAATCCGGTTTATAGAGATCCTGCATATCAGAAAGATTAAATTTATCTTTAGTATTTGATCATTTCAAGGTGTGTTTTCTTGTCATTATTTTATACAATTTTATATAGTTGGGATGTACTTCTATATCCCAGGTATTCAATTATTTGCTGAACTGTTACGCATGCAATAATTTATCATCAATAGCATTCTTTTGCTTCCAGATCTTTGTGAATTTTGTTGTAAATTAATTTAATGAAGCAAAGTTAATGTTTTTGTGATTTAGGCAAATATTTTGCTTTTCTAGTAGGAAATTGCAAGATTTTATTGTTGGTTTGGGGTGGCAAAGAAGTGGAAAGGCTCCTTAAAGACAATTCAGCCAGGCTTTACATCTTCAGCTTTATGACAGCGCAGATGACCTGGCGCCTACTTAATGTTAGGCTGCATCTTTCACATAGCAGCTATGATTGAAACAACACAGAGAAACAGGAATTCATGCAGACAGACAAACGTTGGAAATGTGCAGACACGATTGGATGGCTCAGGCTGCAATGCAGCCAAAGCTGCTGTAATTCTCTTATCATCTGGCTCAGTTTTTCCCTACAGCCTCCAGCTTCATTTGCCCCACATCTTTAAACATGTGTGAAGGACACAAGCCAATAGATTATAGCAATTTTCCCAGATTTGAGAGTTTTCTGGTTTTTGGTTGCCAGGGCATGTCATTAGTGGATCAGCTTCTTGATAGAACATGACTGGAGAGTGCTCGATAGAACATCTCTGGGGAATGCTGTCAATTGCCTCTTGTCCCTTAGTTTGTGCAACAGAAGATATTACCATGTTTTTTTAATTAATTTGTTTGTATTAGATGAGTATTCAGAGGGTTTCAAAAGGTTTTAGAGTGTGGGTAATGCCAAATATCCACCTGCTGGGACAATCTCACAGAGGAGATTACAGAGGAGCATGCTGGAGCATGTGGTCTCTCTCTCATTTTCTTTTTAATCCAGATCTTTATGGTAAAGTACAACAGACAGATCGAGGAGGAAATCCCTCCCCCCTCTCGAACAAAAACAGTATGAAATCATTTCGAGCGATGGGGGGGGATTATGCATTTGTGATTTCTTATATTCACGGTGTCCTTTTATTCTTCAAGGAGAATTACCACTCAATCAAAACAGTTCCTTTCACTGAGCTTTGCCTTGTTCCCTCCTCATTCATCTTTCAGGGGCAGAGCATAAATGTTGTCCTTGGCTGTCAAAATAACAGGGGTGGATGTACAAAAACTGAAGGACACATCCTGCAGATGATTCTCCACAGAAGATTATTCAGAACCCCTCTTTCAAGGTGATGAAGTTCAGTATTGACAGAATGTTGCAGCCAGAGAATTAAGATTGATCCAGAGTTCAATCACATTTGTCACAAATCTTGTTGGCTTGTGTGCCGACAAAATTTATGTGCACCAATTTGTGTGCATAAAATACAGAGTGCATAGATGTGCGTCATTATCTTTGAGTTTAAGCCTCAATGCAGATTATCCCAGATTAAGCTCTCACACCTTTGGGACAGTACAAAAAGATTTGAATACATATATGATTTAAATGGCACCTGCCATGTTTATACAGCGTGACTCCAGCTGGGGAATAAAGTGGTTGGTGGACAGTAAATGGTTTTAAGAGAAGTTAGTCTCTGAATAAATTGAGTGAGACTTATTTTCAGATAAAATCAATTAGAGCAAGAGAAAATGAACAATACCTTAGGGTCTAAGGAAGTCTATAAGCCACATTTTTGCCAGGAAATATCCTTCAGGTGGTCAGTTTATTTCTTAGAGTTACATCTGAGAGTTCTCTCACAGTCATTACACACTTGCAGTTACACAATGATTCTTACCACTGTCCTGTGAAAGCTTTAAAAGACACATTTTCACGAAATTTCCGAGAGAAATCTGTCAAGTGATCAATTTTGTTAGAAAAACATGCAAACTATTTTTCCCTTTTCGTCTATCAAGTATTACATTGCTTTAAAAAATTGTGTATGCTTGGCCAGCGCACAATTTGAAGGTCCATTGTTCCTCAAAAGGATAAATAAAAATGAATAAACACCAATTGACTGTCTCCTTTGGCTCTACTGAATGTCCTGTTCAGTAGTTATTGTCTCAGTAGGACAGCTGATTGACATTATAACAGACAAACACCTTTAGTTAGATTAAATATATGTGCTGTGAGATTAAAAAAACTGGGTATGTAATTTTTTCTGTATCCATTACACATGTGAACTATTGTGAACCAGAAAGGGGGTGGCAATAATTAATCTCTTTCTTCCTTCATCTCTGATGATTTTGCTAGACAGGGAAGAGGAGGAAAAAATGGCTGATCAAACATTCAAACAAAAGATGCTGCAGTGACTATCCTGGCTTGAACTTCAGTTATTCATGCACACCAGAGAAAAAGCTTAAGTGAAAGTACTCTTAGTTGGTCCAAAATGCTTTTCCACATTAAAAAAAGAAAACTATAAGCCTTTGAGTGTATTTTATA